GGCCGAGGGGAAGGGGGAAGGTGGGGGAGGCGGGAAACGGGGGGAAGGGGGGGAAGGGCGGGAGGGCACGGGAGGCAGCGTAGGTGGGGGAGGCGAGGAAGCCGGGGCAGGAGCACAAGACCCAAGGTCGTCAGCAGCCGTTCATTCGAACGGATGCTGAGGGAAGGAAGGTTTAGGTTGACCAGAAACACAATCTTTTTTTTGTGTGTGATTCAAAACAAGTTGAGAACTTACAGACCCTGTATGTAGACCTAAACACGACACAATACAGTCCTGGCCCCATCACTAACAAACATACCTGCTATCGTACCGGAAAATCGGGCCTCACTGGGTTGCTGGGAAAAATCCCTACTGGCTCCCAGCGGACTCTAGTTCCTTTTTTTTTTCTGTTAAACAGAGAAATCGTTTTTCTTTTTTCTTCTATTTTAAAAGCCATGCTATATCGTCTCTGCATCGTTCCAATTTTCATGGATGTCCTGGAGGACAGGGCAAATCCAACTGTTATACTTATTATGTTCTGAAAACAGGGCTCAATGTCGCTTACCTCAATTACTCAATCAACGGTGACCCCCTCTATTATGGCTGAGAGATCCTGATCCAGCAGCATCGATTGCTTCCTGATTAGGAAGGAAGGGGTAGAACTGCGCACCGAGCTTTGCCGAAGCACCAGCGCAGCTTTGTTTCGTTGGTTTGGGGGTGCGGCTGGCACCGCCAGTCATTTTGGTTCCGGCGCCCCCGGCGTCCGAAGAATGCGGTATGGGTTATATTCACGAGTTAGCCTTCCCCTCTGAAAGGCGGTGGTGGGGGTTTAAACCACCAGTTCAAATAAAAAGCAAAGTGTAAGTCCTCTTACTGCTCTACACGGTAAGAGCACTTGGCTTCGGACATGGGGCGGTAGTGAAATCGGCCGCCCACTGTGAAAAAGGCGCAATTGCAGGCCCGTGAAACTTGAAAAAGGTAGCTTTGTCGACTTAGGCTTGTCTGAACTGGGGGGTTATGAGATGCCCCTCTCAGCGCTACCCGACTGCCTGATTCTTTCATGACCTCCTACTTGAACCGCTATGAACGATCTGATCAGGAGTCGCCTGCCCCTGTTGCCTGCTACCCTGTCTCCTTTACCAAATTCTACTTCTACCCCACGACTCCCCATCATTTCCGGTAAGTCCTCCAGTACCCAAATTTCATTCCTGCCCCTGTTTCTACACCTATTTACGCACCTGCCCCTGTGCAAGAGGCAGAAACGCAGCACGGAAAACAGAGCTAGCACAGGGACACAGACTTAGGGTCATGTTCCACTGTTGATTTGCCTAGACGTTAGGGGTCAGGTTTCACTCCTTCCTAGCATAAACATTTCACCAGTGGGGCCTGACTCTTAGACAAGCGTACGGCATATAAACAATGTCATTGTATCATCAGCTGGATAGACAGACTCGGAAAAAAAAACACAGCAAGACAGTCGGATATCTCAGCAAGATCAGGGAGGCTCAGTCGGTCCTTTGGGACATCAATTAAAGCTGGAGAACTACACAGAAGATAATCATGACCCTTGAGGAGTAAGTATGAGACACGCAAATAAAGAAATGGGAGAGCATGAAATAGGGAGAGGGACAAGGTGGAAGGGGAAAGGTGGGGCAGAAGGGGGGGGGGGGGGGGGGGGGGGAAACACCTTGGGAGCACAGGAAGAGTGGGAAGCCGAGCCGGAGAGTACAGGAAGAGAAACTTAGGTGTCGCCAATCGATTTGAACTCATTAGCATACCCGCAAGGCGGAAGGACATAAATAGTTCCCCTATGTTTGAAAAAGACAAAACTAGCCAACGATGTCAGAACACACCTTGGCATATTCTGAAATGGTCTCTGTAGTTTGCTTACTCTTGGCATGCAAATTTACACGAAAACCAGATGAGAGAGAAAAAGAACTTATTTACATCATTGGAAGGCTTGGCGCTTTTTCAGACTCGCACTCAGCGCACACAGTCCTCAATTCTGCTCTCTCTCTCTCTCTCTCTCTCTCTCTCTCTCTCTCTCTCTCTCTCTCTCTCTCTCTCTCTCTCTCTCTCTCTCTACCAGCTATGATCTACCTGTATATTCTACCAGGCTATGTCTACTGGGCAGCTATGGCTGCCACACATTTCCCTCTACCAGCCCAGTTCGTCCCTCGGGCGCCCTGCAGACCTCCAGCGCCGAAGAAACATCAGTCGCGACGCAGCACAAGTCGTTCCACCAGCACTTCCACTGTTCGCGAAAGAATGATCTGCTGGCCTGATCGTGAGTACTGAATATATACTTTTTGTTGGACCCAATGTGCCTCTGACCAGACTCCGGAAGGTTCTGCTAGTACTGGGCTGAATGTGCCTCTGGCCAGACTCCAGAAAATTCTGCTGCGGTGCACTGAATCTGCGCCTCTGGTCCAACTCTGGAAAATTCTGCTCATTCAGCAAGAGGACCCAAAGCATCGAGTTGGCCAGGCCCTGGAAACTTCTTGAATTGTTGCTGTGACTTTGACTTTTGACCTGGGACTTATTTTGGACTTTGACTTTGACTTTTGACCGGACTTCCTACAGCCTACCAGAATGTTCTAATATAAGTCCCAGGTCAAAAGTCAAATGCCTAGACCCTAAGGACTGGGCCCCTCACTGTAAGACTTGGATCCACACTGCGAGACTTGGACCTACTGCAATCTTCTAGAAGCTAGACCTGCACTCGGCCTTCTGGAGCCTACTAGGCTGTAGTGAATCCTTTCATATTCTCACGCAGGTGCAAATAATCCACCTGGATGTCTGCATTTGTAGGCATGCACTCTGACAAGGTTGTGTTTTTGTTCTTCGCGAACCCGACGGGCTGTTCATGTACTTTTCCTTAATCGCAACGAAAGACATTAAATCTTTGTCTCTACCCCCTCAAACCATAACAATCGAGTGCTCTTGTAAATTATGGCCTTCTCCCAGAACGTACGCAATAACATCGTTTCAATTGGTTAATACATCGTCGTCATCATCACCATCATCATCATCATCATCATCATCGTCATCGTCATCGTCATTGTCATCGTTATCGTCATCATCATCGTCGTCATCATCATCATCATCGTCGTCGTTGTCGTCGTTATCGTCATCGTCATCATAGTCGTAATCATAACCATCATAGATATCATAATTTTGTGACCATACTCCCATACTCGTCATTCTTGTGGTCCCATTCGTGATGGGAGCACAAGGTTGTCATATCACAGTCATGGATCATCACCTTGTAGTCCCATTTGTCATCCTCGTCAAGTAGTCGTTATCAGATATCATGAATCTGGGGGACAGTGCCAGGGCCACCTTGCCAGACACCTTCGATTCGCTCTATTTTTTTGAACTGCGAAAAAGAATTCAGAGGCGTTTCTATTAGGTGGATGATGGTAGTAGTGTAGCTTAACCCCTCGCATCAGGGGCGTACCCCTACCTGCATGAGGGGGTTGTCATGACAATTCTGAACTTGTAATTAGGCTCAAGTTTTGGGTGGGTGGGGGGGGGAGGGGGAGAGGGGAGGGGGCAGGGACAAGTAGTACGCTTGTTTGGCCTTGGGTGCGCCACATACCGTTACACCCCCTTTCTTCTTCTGGAGGCTGACTGTTCGCCCAGGAGCGCTCTCTGTTCCCCGGTGATCTGTGCTACCTGAAACTCGGGCAACAAGCGCATCCCACTGAGAATCAAAAGAAGATCAAGAAACTCATACGCACTGCACAGCAAAAAATGCACATTTCAAGCGAGGGGCCAAGGGTATATTTCAGGTCCATCCATGAAGACACATTATACAGGCTCATGAGGTAACTTACTCTTTGCACCATTTGGGAGGGGAGAGGGAGGAGTTTCTCTCTTTCTCATGCATGGCAAAGACATAATCAAAAGACTTGCCGTCACCATCCACAGAGAGAGAGAGAGAGAGAGAGAGAGAGAGAGAGAAAGAGGAGAGAGAGAAAGAAAGAGGAGAGAGAGAAAGAGGAGAGAGAGAAAGAGGAGAGAGAGAAAGAGAGGGAGAGGGAGAGAGAGAGAGAGAAAGTGAGAGAGAGAGAGAGTCCTACAGTCTCCCCCTGCATGTGTGAGAGAGAGAGAGAGAGAGAGAGAGAGAGAGAGAGAGAGAGAGAGAGAGAGAGAAAGCCCTACAGTCTCCCCCTGCATATATATTCCTATGTTCACATGACAACTGGAGGGGAAGCACACCCACTCGATTACAAGAACAGCGAGAGTGAAACTACTACTGCAGGTGATTCACAGTTCTAGACTCCCCACCGTCTTCCGCTAGATAGAATCTTTTTGTTGACATAACCGCACGCCAGAGGGAGGACTCTCGTCACTACCATTTCACCCGCATAGAATAGATGGAATTATAGCATGGGTGAAGACAATAATGACAGTGTGTTTTATTTGGGTGAAGACGGTAGCTTGTGCAGCTGTACTTGATGACAATAGCACACACACACACACACACACACACACACACACACACACACACACACACACACACACACACACACACACAGAAAAAGAGAGAGAGAGAGAGAGGGAGGGAGGGAAACGACAGGTCACTCACAAGCCTAGACTTGAGAGTCTGCCATCTCTTCCCACTGCATGGACTTGTTCAGGCATGTGGACGTACCTTGCTGATTTTAAAATGGGTTTAGCACGGGTTTATCCAGATGCATGCCATTGGGAATTGTGCTCAGACAGACACAAAACACAAACACAGACATACATGCCGACAGGCAGGCAGACACAAATGCAGATACCCATGCACGTACAGACACAGAAGCACACACAGACACAGACACAGACACAGACACAGACACAGACACAGACACAGACAGACACAGGCACAGACACGGACACAGACACAGACACAGATGCAGGCATAGACACAAACGCAAACACAGACATACATGCAGACAGACAGACAAAGATGCAGACAGACAGATGCACATACAGACGCAGACACAGAAGCAGACACGGGCACAGAAGCACACAGATGTAGACATAGACAGAGACAAACACAGACATACATGCAGACAGGCGGACACAGATGCACATACAGAAGTACATACAGATGCAGACACGGGCACAAGAGACCACACACAGACAGACACCGACATGCTTAAGGGCACAGACACAGGCATAACCACACACACAGATGCAGACAAACACAAACAGACAGAGAAATGGAGACAGAGACACAAGACAGGCAGACAGGCAGACAGATACAGGACACAGAAAAACAGACATGCAGACACGCATGCCCATGCACACATACACATACAGATGCAGACACAAACATACACAGACACAAGAGACTTAGACTGAGACACAAATGCAGACAGAGAGACAGACAGACAGACAGATGCCCACCCACACAGAGCCGCAGACGTAGACACATCAGATGCGGAAGCTCAGACATGTACCTTTTCCAGAAGTCTTCCCCCTTTTTTTCGTTTTCGTGTTTTGTTTCTTTGCTTGAAAGGAGGAGAGTTGGGAAATAGTCATTTTGAGAATTTTTGACAAAATTTTCAACAGTTTTGGGGGAGACGAGGAAGACGAAGTGTATTCGCAAATGTGCACACATGCAGCGCATGCTGGGCAAAAACAAAAATTGGTACCTTGGTGAAAGACCCGAACGTAGTCCTTGATGAAGCCCACGACTCGGCGGTCATACTCAAATCCACTTTTCCAAATGAGGGAGCCATAGCCAAATACCCAAAACACCATTCTTGCCACTGCCACGCCTTACACCCACCGCCCCCCCAGTCCACCTGCGAGCACCTCCACAACCTCTTCCTCTCTCTATCTCTCAAGAGCCGCTGTCGGACTGCTCAGCGCTGCAGTTAGAAAAAAAATAAAATTAGAACATACACGCACAACAGGCCTTACCACGGACGTATCTGACTGGATTGAGGGCCAGATTAAGCAGAAGCAGTTCTGATATGAATATGCTGATGTTAATGTCTCTTTTTCTTTTTCTTTTTCTTTTCCTTTTTCTGTTTTGATTTTGAGGGACTAGTTCAAACTTCACAGTAGTCAATATTCCGAAATAGCGCTCAAATAGGGGCCGCCYCCCCCCACCCCTTCTTTCAGCCCCCCACAAACCCTTCCCTCGCCGCTGAAAAAAAAAAAAAAAAAAAAAAAAAAAAAAAMWTCACAGAGTAGGAGATCCATGCTGGAATACGATTTGTAGTAGAAAAAGGAGCAAAATTTTCTGGAGATTTGTAAAATCCAGTGATCGCTTAATTCCAGCAAAAGGAAGAGAGACCCTTAAACCACCAGTACTTGGCCCAGCTATTGGCCGCCAGAAAAAAAATACAGTAGAAAGGTTTCTACTACCTTCTTCCCCCGAATACAACGTACGGTCATTATAGCTGTATCTAGACTGAAACATGACTAAAATACAGCTATAATGACCGTACGTTATATTCGGGGATAGAAGGTAGTCGGATGAATTTGGGTGCTCCTGTAGTCGCCCGTACGTTTCCTAAAATCGTGGTGGCATGTTAACGAGCACAACTTTCAGGAAGTACTGGTGGGTTTAAGAGCGTACTCTCACGCTTGCTTGTACTTTTCAGACAAAACCTGGCTGTGTTTGCAGTTAGATACATTCCACAAAGTCCTATTGAGAGCATACCCTTAATTAGGCAAAGTTAAGATGCAGATCGTTCAATCCCGGTGTGAGGAAACCCGGGGAGGGGTCACCTACCGCTCGCTGAAGCCAAGGGCAACGGCGCCTTTCACTCGCCGCGCTCGCTTCAGAGGTCCTCAGCGGTCGGTAGGGAGTGTTGTTCAGATCGCCTGTCACTTCTCACTTAAAGTTGGCTTTTATGTT